GTTGAGAAGTCGCAAACCTTGGAAGTACAATTAAACTAGGTTCAGCTAAGATTCACTAAATGTCTGCCGCTGTTCTGGCCAAGACGGGAATGTTGTTTTGGGAGCATTTCATTCTAGAGATCTCATTAGTGATGACATTCTGTCTGCGGTGAATGGTACGAACTATCACAGCTCCGATGGCACACTGAGCTCTTTTGCTTCATATAAATATCTCTTTTTCTACTCACATCAAGTACGTCGTCATTATTTCTAGCATTACAGACATGGGGGCCGTTCCACACAATGAAACATTTGGCTGCTGTAATCTATCCTTTTACTGGGTTTTCCATTTCCCCGACGATGCCAGCGATGACGACGGCAAACAGAAATGTATGTATGGTTTCGGCCATGCTTTAGAGGTTATTGATCTTGCGTTGACTTACTTTTACAAAAAAAAAACAGACATGCTTGTAACATGAGATATGTGTAGACTCTCTGAAGAAGGTCCTTTTAATTTGAGGAGTAGTCCTGATCATGTGGCGACTATAAAACGGAACAGAAGTGCAATCGTATCCCCACAAGGTTTAACAGCAACATGTAAATCGACTCGCACATATTGAAAAACCTGATTTTTTTCTCAATATTACAGATGTTCATACTTGCATGTAGGAACACATTCAACAACGTAAATTCCAAATTTATTTCGGCCACTTGTATGAGCTGGAATACTCCGAAAGCTTATTTTCGTCTGGTGGTCTTGAGGCGAATTGGACGTCTGGGAAAGGCTGTGGATTGATTACGTGAGGGAAGTAGAGATTCGAGTTTGACTGGTTTGTTGGCTTGTACTGTTCCCGAGTCTCTGTAGTCCAAACAACATGTTTGCGTCCAAATATGTCTGTTTCCGTAGGGGGTTCCAGTCTTGAATCCTTACCATCCGACATTGTTTGCTTACTACACATACGAACAAATTCGAATGCCTCGGACTGTTGATCGATTCTACCACCGCGGCCCACGTGACAGCAGCAGGAGGGGGTGGATAGGTCAACTATTTGTTTGGCTTTGCAGATCTTCGCGCGGACCTCGGCTAAAGTGCAAAAGATTAGATTAATAGGACTTTTAGATGTGTCTGTGGCAGTTTGGGAGATCTTGGTAAATGTAAAGTAAAACACCTTCCGTCGACGTCGTCACCGCAATGATGGTAATAGAAAGAACAAATTCAGTCAGGTTCTGATGTTCTGACCGTGTCAACTAGATCGGAGGTGCCTTCTGGCGCAGTTGCTGACAAAGCTAATCAGTTAGTCTGCGCGTGTCGCACCCGAACTTTAGCCCACAGGGTGTGCCACCGGGTTTTCGTGGGAAGGTTATTTAAAGGGCCATATGTGCCGGATTATGAAGGATCCCCTCATGTCGAAAACCAGTCTTTGGTCCAGCCAGCACACATACGTAGACGGTACTGATCAGGAGGGCGGTGACATCCCATCAGTCGGTAGCATTCCATGCCATGATTGTTTGTGCGCCGTGTCAATTTTGACGTGCCTTCGATATGTGATATTGATGTTCCGCTGTAATGTATTGTGTGCTGTTGAAATCACTCTTTCTTCTGCCATGCACCAGTCCACTATCCGATCCGGTCTGCCACATGATGCTGGTGTTGGGCGTAGTGGCTGACGGCCGTATAAGCCTGTCGTTAAATATGTCAGGTTTCAGAAAATAGGCAGTAAGACGGCCTTATGCTCATGAGATTGCCTAGTGGCCACATTATGAAGCAGCCGTTGCGTCTGAGCCTCCGTCCGACAGTTTGGTCGTCGGTCCCGACGATGTCCATTATTTGTCTCACAGCATGGTGTGTGCATGGACGGTGACTTGCGCGTGAGTTAATTTATAGTGCTAGTAGCCTTGCACTGCATTTGCGGCACTTTCTCGGCCCTCATCCTTGGCCCGATATCAAGACAGAGTTAAGAAGACTGGAGGCAGAATCAAGCGCAGGTGGCTGGCGCGGTGTGAACTCGCATCTAGACATGACACCACACCTCTGGTCCGCGTACACACGACCAGGTCTTCACATAACAGGATAGGGTGTCTTCTTGGATCCCAAATGGAGGGGAATAACGTTGAGGAGCCGTTGTACCCTGTCTCTTCGTTCTGAGAGGAGAACCGAGTTATTCCGTCGATTGGTAGCATTTCAAGCCCCGGCTTTAGCGCACCCTAATAAATTCATGGACGTCAGATGGTTTATAGTGAGGAATATGCGTTGAAAACATCGGCTTTTACTTCCCTTCCCTCTCTCGCGCCCTAGTCGATTGTTCGAGTGGGTCAACTGACTGATGGTGAGATCGGACGCGGTGGTTGACAGAGCTAAATACGGCCCGTCTACGAATGCCACACACCCGACCTCGCAGGCCACACAGCGCACTAGGATTTCACACAAGTAGGATGGATTGCTGAGATCTCACATGTGTCACAGTAACAGAGGAACGAAGGAGCACTACCCCTATTTACGTGAGAGGTTCCAATTTCGTGGCTGTTGTGAGTAGTAAGGTACGGGTTTGTTTATGATGGGTGAAATTTCGTGATGGGTTTTGACTGGCAATGTTTTGCCCCAGATTTTCATGGATGTACGTGTGGCAGAGTAGGCCCACGCGATGAATGAATGTGCGTGGGGCAATCTGGGCAACTTATCAAGTTGCCAGAGTAAGCGGACCCACTTTAGAAGCATGTAGACTTGGTTGGGGGAGGGCTACAGAGCTTGCTTTTGTTGTTGTTGTTGTTGTCGTTTTCCATTTGATTGTTTCAACCGCGAGTTTTGCATTTCGAGCTATTGTATACCTCTAGATGATTTGGACGCAGCATTTTCTCTGGGCACAGTTGCTAGTTCCTTCCCAACACGAGGGGCCACACAGTGCTCTCCTTAATAGGTTTGCTTAGACCTCCTAGACGGCTGCTTAACTCCCCTATGAGGCACAAATTTGTCCAGTGAAAGAGCGACCTTACTTATTCTAGGTCATCCGCGAGATCGTATATGGTCCTCTCCGTAGTACTTTTTGAATGTTGAGAGCAGTGTTATCGACTTTATAATTTTTTTATCGGTCTTTTG